CACGTTAGCTTCACGGTGAAACGGCGGAACCGGAGCGGGCCGTCAGCTCCCGTCACGTCCTGAAACGACCGGCTGGCGCAAAGCGAGGGGCCCGGCGGGGGGGACGGGCCGGAGGCTCGGAGGGCTCGGGGTGTGATTTGAGACTGACTGAACGAGCGAGACCCCGGGATGGGTACGAGGAAGGAACAGCTCGGGGGAAACCAGCAGCCGGGTGGGCGAGAGGCCACTTCGCACCCGGGCTTGAAGCTCCTGGGGGGCGGATTCTGGAAAAGGGGAGTTTTCTGTCCGGCCCCGGGCCGGTTGGTCTGGGGACACACAGAAGTAGCATTTGGTCTAGCGCCTTTTCATGTCTCTCACTAGGAAAATGGATTTCTTTCTCCTCCGTGGACGTAACAAAAGGGGGAGATAACCCCTTACACCCAGACAAAAGGGGAAAACTGCTCTCAGGCCGATGGGTGCTTGAGCCCCTGAGGAATTCCTGCTCTTCACTTAGGAGCTCAGGACCGCGTTCTAGAGAGAACTGAAATACCTTCTTGCGTTATCATGCTCATCGTGGGGGTGTTGTTTCATATATAAAACAACACTTCGTAGTCGGAGAGTCTAGGCACTCCAGAAGTCCTTTTCAGAGTTCACAATCATTTGCTGTCCCTTTGCAGGTTAGGCAAGAGGCAGTAGAGGGTGCTGTGATTGCACACACAGAAATGAAACTGCCTGGAGAACAAGGAGACAAATACTCAAGAAGCAGGTCATCACAACACGGCCATGGTTTATCAAAATCTATCAGCTGATTTAATAAACTCCATCATCTTGGAGTCAAGGGAAGTGTAGAGATCCAACGCTGCCTTTCCCTAACTGTGGATGGTATTACCCTCCGGATGTTTTTTGCACTTGTATTATTTGCAGTTGAGGAAGAAAGACTTCAGAAAAATAAATTTCATTGTTTCTCATAGCATTAAAAATCTCATAAAAACTGAAGTGAGGAATACCTCTTATTTAAGTCTCCTGAAAAGAGGCATTCTAAGGGGGCATCATCAGGGCTGTGGTCGGAAGCACTGACAGGCCAAAGCCTCGTACAGCCATGGAAAGCGGTGGTCCCTGCCCCTGAAAGCTTACAGTCAGTGTCCACAAGTGAAGACAGGTGGATGCAAGGAGTCATTGCTGACACCTCCTTCCTCTAACCCTGCCCGGTTGCAGCAGCAGTCATAACAAACTCCTAATTACAAGAGGTTGTTTTGTCAGAAATCAGAGTAGGGTCGTCTTTGTAAGGGAGCTCTGAATGAGGAGGATGCAATAGCATTGCAGATTTTTATAGGCAACTTGTGAAAGAAGAGCAGAAATGGAAAAACTAAAACAATTGCAACATAATCCTCCTTGGAAACTACCATGGTCACAGACACTGGAAGGCAGAAGGAGTGCATTTCCACTCATGCTTGCCAAAGGAGAAGATGGGTGGTCTCATAGCTGAAACACGGGGACTAAACTCTCACCTGAATTCTGACTCCTGAATTCACCAGGGAAGTCTTGTGTTGCCTTGAACCGGTCTCCTAACTTCCCTGTACCACAGCTCTTCTTTCATAAAAGTGGAGAAAGATACGTAGTTATTCCCTATACCTTTTATGCAACAAAAAGCATCAGTGCCCGTGGGGTAAGCACTGTGGACATTTTTTTCCCCTTTTGCACAATAATCTCAGCCCACTATTAGGAGCTACTTGTGTTGCTGAGGTGTGCCTTCGGTACAGTGTGCACATAGTCGTGATACCTGTAATACCAAGCTGCTGGTTCTGCTGTATGCTGGAAGAAGAGACAAAGGGGAAATCACTGTAAAGAACTCCAGAAAGTTGCATAAAGTTTACATTTTTCAAATATGTTGCTTTATCAGGAATTGTTCTGAAAATATATTTGTCTCTCTGCTTATAAAAGAAGTGCCTCCACTGAATTGCTGAATTTCGTTCCATAAGAAAGAAGGAGGATTTTGTGTGTGTGTGTGTGTGTGTGTGTTAGCTTATCTTCCTGATCTTGAAGTTGTTTTTCAAGCCAGAATGTCACAATTTAACTGGGGGAGAAGCCTTCATCACAACTTGCAAACAAGGTGAAAATGGAATATTTTTAACGATTCTTTTCCAAAAAATAGATGGAACAGGGGAATGCTGACATTGCTTTACTTTTGCCAAAGGCTGCCAACACTCAGAGGGAATAAGCTATTCAGCTGGCGAAAAAGTGCTGAACAAACACTGAAGGAGCTAAAGGGATACTCCCAATCATGATATACTTGCTTTTCACTCTATCTCCTGCCCTAGTCTAATGCCTTCCCCCTCACCCCCTGCCCTCAGAAAAAAAAAGGGGAGGGAAAAAAAAAGAAAAAAACAAAGAAAAGACAGGTTGGATTAAAACAGTAGCAAGAGGAATTGGTGGATCCTGAGAGTTGGCAGGGGCATTAGTATTTTGTAACCTGATCTGTCATGTGACTAGAGCCAGGCAATAAAAATAAGTCTCCTACCAGCCCTCCTGTTTGCTCAACTTTATTATATGGTGTCAGTAGAGAACTACTTTTTTTTGGCAAAAATTTAGCAAATGAAGCCACCTGAATCATTAAATCCTGAAGGAAATCTGGCAGAGAACTGGAGGAGGTTGTTGCTGCGCTTCCAAGTTTTCCTGGAAGCAAGCATGTACTGAAGAGAAACGGAGAAGGTGAAACCTTCTCCTCTCCTAAATGTGGTGGGAGGGGCAGGAAGCGGAAAAACAAAATTATTAGAAGTAAATTAAATTCTTGATCAACCTTAGTAGAGGTTGGCAAAGATCTATTTCCATTAGCTAGAAGAGATTACTTCTCATTATGGACTACCACACACACGCATTCAGCTGCTGCACACCACATTGAGCAGAAATGTAATAACATACTGTAAATTACAGTTTGCTCACCACAGTGCTCAAGATGAGTTAATAACAGATAATGGCCCACAATTCACAAGTGGATCATTCTGGTAATTCTCTTTGATCTGTAAGTTCAAGCACACCACGTCAAAGTATAGCTATGCACAGGAAAAAGAGTCAGTGTTACAGCAAAACCCCAGTAACAGCCTCCCCCCCTTTTACAAGTCTATCATTAGCACTGTAAAAACAGAGATGCACACCTCACTGCCTTACTGGCCTCACCAGATCTGAGATTAATGGGCAAAGGAAAAGCCTTCGAGAGCCAACATTTAACAGCGGCTGCTTGGGCAGAAAGACTATTAACCCTGGAATAGCTACCAAAACGTCCCCAAGCTCTGTGCCAGGGAAGTAAAGAAGAAAAGTTTTAACAAGAGCAATGAACAGTTATTCTTTTTTTTTAGTGCTAGGTAGATTTCCAACAAAGCTATTAGCAGGTTACACGGGTACAGGTGAACGTCAGTCCCAAGATCGGGTCTTAACCTTCTCTATAAGTGGCCCCTGTGAAAAAAAACAAAGGACATGCAAGGGGACAATGACCAGAGAGCTGTTGAACAAGATAGATATAGAGGCACAAAACGGTGTTATTTGCCTGATCAGCCGGTAACCATGAAAAAGAGAGATTCTGAACACCTTATAGATTCAGAGAACTAACAAGGCATTTTTGAAAGATCTTTCTGAGACCAGGATATGCCACCAGAAAGCTGCTGAGCCCCTGGTGAGAAGGCCAACTTCCAAAGAGAAGCTCTCCACAAGAAACAGGAGGTGTTCTTTCATGTCTTAGGAACCAGTTCATGTACCCTGAGCTCTTTCCTAAACATGTCTGTTCATCTTAGTGAGTTCCTCCTATTTTACTTAATATTATGTTTTATTTACACAAAATGAGTTTCAAAGATAGGTTAAGTGTAACCTTGAGTTCAACAGGCACTGGCTTTCGTTGTGTAATAGCAATGTTAACAGTGATTTATATTTTGTGAGGGAGACCAGGAAATAGATATAGATATGTTTCTTAAAACTCTAATGCACCGCATTACTATTGTAGTGCAAACCAAAGCCCATCTGGAGTGAGACACAAAAAGATTGTTTGTTGGAAAAGGGCTTCATGGTTTTGAAGTATCGTCCAGATTTTAGAGAGCTGTTCTGTCAGGGAAGATAAGGGATGTATATTTACTGTATTGTTAAGTGTCTCTCACATGCTCAAAATGG